ATCTTTTGATATCACCAGATGGAACTCCAACAAAGACACTTGGTTTGAATGGGTGGAGAGAAGCCGCAACATGATGAGAAGATCATCCATGGGTAGAAAGGCAATGGAATGGATATGCTTTGCACTTAAAGANTTTACACTTAAAGAAGCGTCGACAGATCAAAATAATCTAGTGAAGAGATGGAAGTACAAGGAGCAATTGACAGAACATTTCTGCACTAGGAAATTTAACACCCATGGAAGATATATGAGTATTTTGTCACTGAAGGGAGAAGGGAGGTCAGTGATTATAATCCCAGAGTTAACTTTGAATTCTGGTTGGAAAGACATAACAGCTAAGATAGAGAGATTCATATATCAAACCATCAAGTTGAATCCCATAGTACCACCTAGAAACACTGTGGACAATTTCCCTTATGCCCAAGCAGTTAAGGAGAGTAAATGGCAATCCAATACGCTTCGAGAGGCAAGGGTCAGCACGAGCAATGGCGGTATCTCTATTCTGGACCCTATTGGAGGAGAGGACACATGCCTACTAAAAAGATGCATTATCGGGTCTTTTGGGGAAGATATCAATGAGAGACCCACTTTAGCAGACATAAGGCGATGGGCTAGTGCGTCATGGAACAAAGCATACGGAGTAAATATTTATGAAATGACAGGAAACATGTTTCTTTTTGAATTTCCAAACAGATTCATGGCAGAGCAGGTTGTGCAAGGAGAATGGAGATGGAAAAAATTCAAGCTTCATCTGGATTGGTGGAATCATACTGCCGGTTGCATTCCAAACTCACAAATTGAGGAAACATGCTGGATTAGAGCCATGGGGATTCCTGTACATCTATGGTCACAAAAGATCTTCAAAGAAATAGGAGATCTCTGTGGGGGTTGGCTAGCTACAGAAGAAGAAACTGATCTCAAAAACCATCTCAAGTGGGCAAGAATCAAAATTGCTGGTGATGGCAGGAAGACTCCCAATGAGGTGGGGATTGTAAGAGACGGTACCAAATTTTTCATCCCAATCTGGGCTGAAAGAAAGACACGGTATGAGCTAAACAATGGTAAAGGAAAGGCAAGTGGTCAATTTANGAAGGGTGGAGACAGAGTTGGAGGTGAAGAAACAAAGATTCAAAGGATCATTGGAATTAAAAGGTTTGACTTCTTTCGATGTCAAATTCAAGAGCGACGGGAAAAGGAGTAGGGGAAGAGATCTATCAATTATTTCTATATGAGGATCAAAGTAATTTCCTGGAATGTAAGGGGTCTAAATGATAAGAAGAAAAGGGAGATAATAAAAAGTCAAGTGCAAAATTGGAAGGCAGACATTATTTGCATGCAAGAAACAAAAGTCGAGGGGGATATCGAGGAAATAGTCAAGCAAACATGGGGTGGTAGATGGGTTAGGTATGCAAGTTTAGAAGCTAGCGGCACGAGAGGGGGAATTTTGATGTTATGGGATTTCAGAGTATGGAAAGGGGAGGTGTTACAGATTGGTGCATACACTTTGACATGCAAGTTTGACGCGCTTCTACAGAATTTTCAATGCCACATAACAGGAGTGTATGCTCTNGCTGAAATCCTATGACCCCGATATGGCTGCACAAGTCATTTTTAATGACCTCTCGTGTAAGTTCACTGATACTGGGCTGAAGCCCTATATCGAGGAAATGGGAGGACCTTCTCACGCGGGGGCAAAAGAGTCATCTCCAGGGGAGCAAAACCTTAATGTGAATCGTGAAAGTATGCAAAAGGAAACAATTTCCAGTTGTAGTCAGCCAGAAGGTGGAGTAGATTTAGCAAGATTGAAACAGAAGGAAGGGGAGCAAAGCACAAACTTAAAGATGGGGAATGATCACGTGGGATGTACTTTGGAACATCTAAAGCAATGTAGCCCTATTCAAGAGTGGGAAATTGAGGAGGTGAACCCTTTAGCAGTTCAGCAGTACAATCCATTATTGGATAAAGACATGGATGCAACAATATGGGTCCATCAAAATATGATCAAATTGGGGAAAATGTTTGGAGTAGATTTCCAAGGACATGAAGAAGAAGCACTGGAATTGTTAATGCAAATTGACAGCTGCAGACAGGTTAGAAGGGTGGAGACAGAGTTGGAGGTGAAGAAACAAAGATTCAAAGGATCATTGGAATTAAAAGGTTTGACTTCTTTCGATGTCAAATTCAAGAGTGACGGGAAAAGGAGTAGGGGAAGAGATCTATCAATTATTTCTATATGAGGATCAAAGTNAACAATGGATAAAAAACAAGGTGGATTAGGGATAAGGAATTTGAAGAATCAAAGCAAGGCTCTTAGAATTAAATGGTTATGGAAGTACTCTAAAGAACCCCAATCTTTATGGGCCAAAGTGATCAAAGCCAAGTATGGTGAAGAAAACAACTGGGTGTCAAAAAAAGTCAGTACATCATATGGAGTAAGTGTGTGGAAATCAATCAGAGAACTTTGGCCAATAATGAAGAATCACTCCTCCATAAGAGTGAACAACGGAAGGAACACATCATTTTGGAATGATAACTGGCTAGGAATGGGAAGCTTAAAGGAAAGATACCCAGATATGTTCGGTTTAGTACAAAACCAGCATAAGACAGTCGCTGATATGAGGAGTTGTCATGGATGGGAAATAGCTCTAAGAAGACAGCTGAATGACTGGGAGATAACAAGATTAACTGACATCTACAAAGAGCTGGAAGCATTTACAAGACTACAGGAAGGTTTGGATTCAATATGGTGGAAGAGGTACAACAAAGGGATTTACCGAGTGAAGGATGCATATAAGATTTTGAATCATGATAATCAACAGGTAGACACATGGCCTTGGAAACATATATGGAAAACAAAGATTCCATACAAGTTAGCATGCTTTACTTGGCTACTAACAAAGGAGACGGTTTTAACCCAGGATAATCTCATAAAAAGGGGAATTTCTCTGTGTTCAAGATGTTTTCTGTGTGGGGAAAATGCAGAAACGGTCAACCATCTGTTCCTACACTGCAAGGTTACAGACCAACTATGGAAAATCTTTATTAGTCTTAGGGGTATATCATGGTCAATGCCATACAGGATTAAAGATGTCATCTATAGCTGGGAAGAAGCTGGAGCTGAAGCAACAAGTAGAGATAGATGGAGGACTGTTCCGGCATGTATTTGGTGGACAGTCTGGAGGGAAAGGAATACTAGATGTTTTGAAGATAGAAGTAATTCACTGCAGAAGATCAAACTCAATTGTATTCTTCTATTTTGTTTTTGGTGCAAACAGATGTACACAGGAGATACATTGACAATCATAGACATACTGGGATCCTGCTAGTTCTCAAATTAGAATATCTATAAATTCTCTCTATGTAAATTTGGTTTTCAGTGCAACCTATGTACTGATTTTTATAATATATATACAATAGTTACCAATTCAAAAAAAAATTCTAATTACTCTTACACAAACATTTAAGTAAGATATCGATTTTTTCAGTTCAATTGGAGCAGCATTGTAATTACATGAAAGCCCCAAGCCCCAATTACAAGAGGTTTAATAATTCTACCGTATGCTTTGCACTCTTTTTGTTACAAGTCAATTTTATTTCTTAAAAGTTTGTGTTACAAACTCAGCGATTCATTTGATATGCTGGACCTTCTATCAAGTTAATTTATTCATCATACTAAGGCTTGATATTCCTATAAACTCTTTTAAATGTGTGTAAGAATAAATATTTTACAATCCGAGTACTGAAATTTCAATTTTAATGGACTCCTCGACTCTACTCAAAATTTTATTATACTTCATATGTTAATTGGTTCGGTGACGCTCCCTAACTCTTTCATTATTTTCTTCTCCCTTAGTTAAATTAATACTCCTTGTATATTGTAAATAGTTAATGATCATCTCAATTAAAATTTTAAAAAAAAATTTATATGCTACTTTTTATGAACCTATAATTAAATTATTATATACCTTATTATAAATTATAACTTAAATTTTAAAATTATAAATATGGTCCTTTTATAAATTTATCAAAAAATTTAAGATTTTTATTATAATATAATGTGTATTAAGTATGTATTTAAGTTACATTTTATAAGTGGCAAATAAATAATCTTTTAGGAGTTTATTGTAAAATTTGCCTTTGCTTTTATTAATCAAAAATTTTATATTACCTGCATTGAATTGTATGTTTATAAGGTTATCACCATTTTTTATTTTCAATTGTGTAAATAGATTCTTGAAATTTAATTTGCTATTAATAAAATTATTTATAAGAGTAAATTATCTTTTATTTCTATTCCACTCATCCTTTTAATTATCAAAAAATTATCGTTAGATTAGAAGCTTAAATACCATTTTTTATTTTTTATTTTGAAAATATAATTTAGTTATTTTCTAGCATAGATATCAAAAAAGAAAAAGCTATCGTGATATACTAAAAACATTAAAAAAAATGTAAAAGAGATAAATGTTGATACTATAGAGGTTGAAATAGGCATTTAAAAAAGTTAATTGAGAAGCAAGGGAGAGGATAGTATTGTTCAAACTAGAAGTGGCAATTTGATTTTTAGCAAAGTTTGGTGGTGTAAATGATTTCCATCCATTTATTTTTTGTTGTTTATTAATTTCTTGAAAAATAGTTAACGAATTAAGAAATTATTCAATATTTAGCCACTTTTTAATGCAAAAAATAATTTTTTGACAAAATCCTTAGCTAACATACGAAAAAACTCTAGGAACTTTTACTAAAAGTGAGCATTTATCACAGATTATTCTTAGCGTATGAAAGGTGAAATTCAAACTCCAAGAAAAATTCGTCGAGTTTGAAGTGTGATAGTTCAAACTCCACGAAATGAAGTCCAAGTGCACGAAGAAGAGAGCGGAGCAATCATCTGTTACTCTCCTCTCTCACAATTTCACTATCAACACATCAAATATCGCCGCAATTTTATCAACCAGTTTCATGCTGCAATTCAATTGCTCACACTTTTAAACTCATAGATATGGGAAATTGGAAGCAATAACTTTATAATAGGAATAGCAGAAGTGAAAAAGTAAGAAAAGAAGCAGAGAAATGAATTCAGCTGGGATATGCAGTTGTTTCCTTCATAGTTTTCTTGGCCAACCATACAAATCATTATAAACCAGTTGAGGGTTCAAATGACCAGCAGAGGAATTCCGAAGATCGGTCAGTTGGGTAGAATAAATGGCAGAGGATTCAGAAGGACTTTCCTGTTGCAGAAAATTGTGACAAAAGCAAATCAGAGCAAAGCTTGAAAATGGCATTCTTTATGTTAAACAGTTCAAAACAAGATGACTTCAGCAGAGAAACCAGCCAATTAACCACATACTCCGAAGAAAAGTCAAAGAACACTAGTCCTAAAACCAGTGAGCAACCAGAAGCTAAAATCTACCACAAAAATATCCGTCCCGGAAAAGTAGTACAAGTGGCACTTCAGAAGAAGGAGAGAGAGCAAGTTCTTACAGTGAATCTGAAAATGAATAGAGGAATGCTAGTGAGTAGGCTGCAACGCGAGATGCTAAAGGAAAGCGACAAAATGACTCCTGCTGCTGCTGTTTTAGTTCCTGGTATTGTGCCTCTATGTCACCACTATCTAATCATTTGAAATAAAACATATATTCTAATAAGGTAAAATGATCTGCATCTCATGTATGCTCAGTCAACACGACAGATAAAGCATAACAAGTTACGATAGAAGGGAAAATTGGACCAAGAAGCAGAATATCTCTGCATCTCAGGCCTGTAACCCTCAATGCAGCAGTTAAGGAAGAAGAAGAATACTCGGGCATGTCATTTAGTCAACTAAAATATGACAAGATTTTGTCAAATCCAAAGACATCAGCGACATGTCCTGTAATTAAGAAGTAGTGCTAGAGCTCTTCGCCAAATGCCATAACAGCATCCTTCATTTGCTAAAAACAAAAGGAAATAAAAGAGGGAGAGAGATAAATTAATAAGAGATACACTACATGGTTGAGCTGCTATTTAGTAGAGTATGTACTCTGATGATCATTGTTTATTGGATTTCTTATCCAAAACTATAGGAAAGTACATTATGAAATTACTTGTCACCAGTACAAGTGTAGAAAGATTAACTGACTTGGCAATGTTAGTAAAATAAGCTCAATCTTAGCAGGTATGTTTGTCTTGTCTGGAGCAGCTAATTAAATTTTCCACATGATAGAGGGAGAGAGAGAGATGTGATGGTGTCGTTGCAGCTAAGGATTTAGTTGCTCTAGGCAGATTGCACAATGATTCCACTGAAGGTGACTTCTCAAAAGATGCAGTAACCATTTCTGCACCTGTGGACTGTTTTGGAGATTTAGCTTCCGTAGTTTCCATGAAATGTTTGGTTTTGGAGATTTCATCTTCCAAGTCCGAGGGAAACAGTTGCCTGAAATGGGAAAAGATGTCAAAAGAATGTCGAAAGTAAAGAACAGTATTAGCTATTAGCTTAAATTTTTGTTAAAGTTATATAAGCAATGTTGGCAGCATTTTCTTTTGCCCGTTTCTAAAAGAAGACGATTTACCTCTTCATCACTCAGTTACACAATACTTAACCCAGGAATCTAACAAGTTTTCCGTGTCAATTTCCGAAATGGAAAAAGAAAAAACTAGCACCTAGGGTCCAAAATTAGCTGTTTCCAAGGTTTTTGCATACCCTTCAAGAAAGACATTTATTTGTTTGAACTATCCTTTATCTCTCTCTTAAACGTCTCGCTTAATTAGCAATCCACAAACTGAGTAGAAAGGATGAATGTGGAGAAACAGTGATAAAATGCTTCTCGATTTTCTAAAACGTCAAATATTTTAGAAAAAAATTCTATTTGTCAAAACAACAAATAATATAAATCAGATACAGTAGAGATAAACAAGACAGGTTGACTATTAGATGATGAAGTGTTTTACTTTACCTTTTGCAAGTAAACTGTTGCCGGTGTCATTAATGCAAGATGTGCAACATAATCTTCTGCTTCCTCTGCAGTCCAGTATGCTCCAGGAGGACCATTGAACAATTCACCAGCCACTGCTGAGAGCACGGCTTAACTTCAGTATACTTGCGAGTCTTGAGGCCACAATCAGCGGTAAACCAGAGTATATTGGTCTCCTGCAAGCATCTTCTTGATTCTGTCAGCAATTTCATCGATGGATGGAATCCCGGATGTCATAAATCCAGGACGAATGTCAGCACCATAATTCACTCTCTCGCGTAACAAGGAAATTAGCTTCTCAGCTGACCTGGAGTACTCAATGGTGTCACATCAGCTCTATTGTCACAATTATGATTGATGTAATCAAGACCTTAGAAACTATCAAGAATAATGTTTCTACAGCAAATTCTAAGTTACAGGAAATTGTTATTGATATTCAAAAAGTCAGAAAATGATAATACCTGAAGATAACCAAATACCACTGAAAATGATAATCCTAGACTTATAATGTGCACACATAAGGAAACTCATGTTACTTCTCATATTAAGATTGCAATAAAATATGATCCAGAACAAAAAGCAGAGCAGCAAAAGAATTAAAAATCAGAACAGGTGTACCTCTTAAATAAGCTAGCTTGGAAAGCTTAAGCAATGTTCTAATTGTCGTGCTTTCACCTTCTGACATTCCATTGGATGCGATTTCTTTGGCCAAGGTAAAAGGAAATTACATCATATTGATAACAAGTGAAATAAATATTTACTTCTAACTTCCTGAGTGAAACTGTGGTATCATGTTAAGCAAAGAAGGATCCTTTGCTGAAACGTTTATTAGTAACTCTCCAGTACTTGCATCAAACGAGAAGTCCCTTCCACTCATTTCCTTCAAAAAAGTGTTCATTTCACTAATTTTGCCAAACTTGAGAAATCCTTGCATAATAACATTGTAAGTGACATTGTCAGGCAAACAACCGTTATCCTCCATTTTTCTTAGTATATCTTTAGCTTCACCTAACAACCCTTCATGACAAAATCCATTTATCATTGTATTGTATGTTGTCGCATTTGGAAGTAATCCAATTAAAGAAAGCTTCTCAAAAATAGCATGAGCTTTGTCAAGTTTACCATTTTTGCACAATCCATTAATGACAACATTGTAAAACATAATATCAATATCTCCTCCATTTCTTTCCAACTCATGAAATAGCAACATAGCTTTCTCGACAAGTCCATTCTGAAAATAACCACGGAGCAAAATGCGATTAGTGCATAAATCAGGCGTGAGCCCCATAGAAAGCATATCAGCAAAGAATTTTTGCACAATGTCAGTTCTTCCAACTTCAAATAGACATTGCAAGATAGTATTGTAGGTAACAATGCAAGGTTTCAATCCATTTCGAGAAATATCATGAAACAAATGCATGGCCTCATCCAATTTCTTTTTCTTACAATATCCATTTATTAATATGTTATAGCTAATAATGGTGGGCTTAATGCTCTTATCAATCATGGAATCGAAAAGTCTCCTTGCTTTATCCATTTGACCGCGCAAGCAATATCCATCAATTATCACAGTGTAGGTGACCACATCTGGCTCCACACCTTTTCCATTCATGAGTCTCACTACCTCCTCAGCATCTTCAATTTTTCCTTCTTTGCATAATCCAGCTGTCACCATGTTGAAGGTGCAGACATCTGGATAAATATTCAGATTTACCATTTCGAAGAACAAAGTCCTAACCTCTTCCCACTGACCAAGTTTACAATAACCATCAATCAATGAATTATATGTGACAACGCATGGAGGAATGCCTTTTTGTTTCATCTCTTCAAAAAGGCTAATAGCAGCATCTAACATCCTATCTTTGCAAAGGGCATCTATAACAATGTTATAGATGAATGCATTGGGCTTAGTGTTTCCTTGTTCCATTACCCTAAGCAAATCAAAAGTTTTTTGAGTATGACCTCTTTTGCTAAGCCCATTCATGACTGTGGAATACATGTATTCGTTAGGCTCACAAATATCCTCTCGCACCAACTTTTTGAACAAGTTAACTGCATCTTTTATCTTACTTTCCGCAAAGAGTCCCCTTAGTAAGGTGCTAAACGTGACAACATTGAATGGAATGCCCTTCTTCAAGTAAAGGGCTAACACTGAAAATCCGCAGTCAGAACGATGCATTAGGCAATAATTGTTGATCGCGATACTCAAGATGAAACCATTAATTGGGATACCCGATTTCAGCATTTGTCGAAAAAGGGAAACAACAGAAGAGTAATGCTTCATATTTACCATAGTCTTTAGTAATTTGGAGAAGCTAAAAACAGAAGGAAGGGGCTGCGTACTGACCATTCGACGAAAGAGAGTCAGAGCATCATCTACACACTTGACATTCTCAGTATTGCTATGAGATGAAGAATAATATCTGATTGCAATTGCCGAAGAAGAAAGCTTCTCAAAAATAGCATGAGCTTTGTCGAGCTGACCATTTTTGCACAATCCGTCAATAATAACAGTGTAAAGTTCAATATCAATATCTTCTCTCTTTTTTTCCAACTCATGAAATAGAGACATAGCTTTTTCAACAAGTTCATTCTGAAAATAACCACGGAGCAAAATGCGATTAGTGCATAAATCGGGTATGAGCCCCATAGAAAGCATATCAGCAAAGAATTTTTGCACAATGTCAGTTCTTCCAACTTCAAATAGACCCCGAAAGATAGTATTGTAGGTAACAATGCTAAATTTCAATCCGTTTCGAGAAATTTCATGAAACAAATGCATGGCCTCATCCAATTTCTTTTTCTTACAGTATCCATTTATTAATATATTATAGCTAATAATGTTAGGCTTAATGCTATTATCAATCATGGAATCAAAAAGGCTTCTTGCTCTATCCATTTGACCGCGCAAGCAATATCCATCAATTATCACATTGTAGGTGACCACATTAGGCTCCACACCTTTTCCATTCATGTGTCTCATTACCTCCTCAGCATCTTCAACTTTTCCTTCTTTGCATAGACCATCTGTCAGTATGTTGAAGGTGCGGACATCTGGATAAATATTAAGATTTACCATTTCGAAGAACAAAGTATTAACCTTCTCCCATAGACCAAATTTACAAAGACCATCAATCAATGAACTATATGCGATAACATCTGGAGGAATGCCTTTTTGTTTCATCTCTTCAAAAAGGCTAATTGCATCATCTATCATTCTATCCTTGCAAAGAGCATCTATAACAATGTTGTAGATGTATGTGTTGGGCTTAGTGCTTCCTTGTTCCATTACCCTAAGCAAATCGAATGTTTTTTGAGTATGGCCCATTTTGCTAAGCCCATTCATGACAATTGAATACATGACTTCATCAGGCTCACAAATATTCTCTCTCACCAACTTTTTGAACAAGTTAACTGCATCTTTTATCTTACTTTCCGCAAAGAGTCCCCTTAGTAAGGTGCTAAACGTGACAACATTAAATGGAATGCCCTTCTTCAAGTAAATGGCTAACACCGAAAATCCGCAGTCAGAATAATGCATTAGGCAATAATTGTTAATCGCTATATTCAAGATGGAATCACTAATTGGGATATTAGATTTCAGCATTTGTCGAAAAAGGGAAAGAACAGAAGAGTAATGCTTCATATTTACCATAGTCTTTAGTAATTTGGAGAAGCTAAAAACAGAAGGAAGGGGCTGAGTTCTGACCATTCGACGGAAGAGACTCAAAGCATCATCTAAACACTTGACATTCTCAACATTGGTACGAGATGAAGAATAATCTCTGATAGTAAATGCCGAAGCAGAACGGGAAATAGCATTGGAAGAGTAACGCAGAAGAGGAATTCTCGTCATCTTCAATTTGGCTAAGGATTTCGCGGGTGGTGCTCCGCTTCGGTGTGCCCTAATTTTGCACGGAATCCATTGTGTGGTTCAAAACCAATATAACTTAAAATAACGATTTTTTCAATTTATACGAGATAAGTGGGCGTTTGGACGTAAGAATTGTAAAATTCCGAAAAAGTGAATTTTTGGGTTGTTTTTGAATTTTCGTGAGTCATTTGAGTTGAAAATTTTGAAAAAATAGCTTTTTAGAGTTTTTTAAAAATTTTAAAATTGATCTTCAAGTGAAAATTGAAAATTTTGTGGTCAAACACTAATTTCAAAAAAAAAAGTGAAAAAATTTGCATGGCCAAACGGGCTCTAAGTTATCCTAAAATTTTAGTATTACTATTAGTATAATAATAACCATACTTCTTTTAGCTAATAATTCCAACAAAAATAAATTTATTCCCATAATTTATACTTGAATAACCAACTAATTCCTTGAATCAAATGACCCCTCACAGTCTTAACATGTTCAAATCAAATTTTTAGGTGACTGTTCCTTCCCAACAATCTAAAATAGATAGAATAGCTGTTCTTTTTTTTTTTTTTTAAACGAGGAAAATAGCTAAATTGACACATGTACGTGCACCAGTTTTTTAAAAAATTACTTAGTGTTTTTTGTCTTCACCGCAATTATAAATATTATTATACATATAATATATGTCGTTATTCCATTAATGATTATTGATGTGTAATATGAGCAATTAATTATTAGTGTTATTAATGATAGGTAAATCTTTTGATCAACCATAATCATGTTTTTAATCCAAATATAACTAATACATCCAAATATAGCTTTAGAATTTTTATCTCAACGTCATAAGATGATTGCTCGCCAAAATTACCTTAAACTCGTAGCTCAAAGTCTCAATATTAAGTTAAAATATGAATTTTGCAAAATATGATTCTTCTATATAATTGGTCTCACTAGTCTTTTCTTTGAGTGAGAGAATGAAAAACTTTTCATGAAAGTTCTCTTTGAGGATTAATTTTCTGGGTATAAATACACTACAAACTTCATCCTTTCCATCAACAAGAACAAAGGCAAAAGGGAAATATTGCACATTAGCAAAAGTAAGAAAAGAAGCACAGAAAATGGATATAAATGGAGCTATGAAGATTTTGTGCCTTCTTCAGAGTTGGTTCAAGAAGAACACTCTGACACCCTTCACCTTAATATTGAAGCGACGGCATGAGGACAATTACTGATAATATCATGATGCACTCAAGAGTTGGCATATAATATGAGCAGGGACAACAACAACAACAACAACAACAACAACGACCCAGTATAATCCCACAAATAGGGTCTGGGGAGGGTAATATGTACGCAGACCTTTGTTGAGCAGGGACAACAAAGGAGATAATGTTATTATCAAACTGAATATGTCAAAATACTATGATAGGGTATCATGGGGTTTTCTATGCCATGTGATGAGAAGAATGGGCTTCAAAGAAAAATGGATAGACATGAACCTTCAGACTAATCTCAAACATTTGGTGTTGTCTCTATCAGTGGGGCTAGGAAAGGCTTTTTCACATCTACTTGGAGTTTAAGGCAAGGAGACCCTATTTCACCGTTCCTTTTTGTCATAGCTTCTGAACTACTGTCTAAAATGATGAGTTGGGCTATTCATTGCCAAGGATTCATACCATATAGCATGGAAAAAAAGGGTCCTTGCATAACACACCTTATATATGCGGATGACACTATTATTTTTTCCTTGTTATTCGCGTCAAGGTGGGTGCGGCCCCTATTGAGGACAAGATGCGGGAAACGCGGCTTATGTGGTTTGGTCATGTGAGGAGGAGGAGGAGCACAGACGCCCCGGTGAGGAGGTGTGAGAGGTTCACATTGGAGGGCCTACGGAGAGGTAGAGGTAGGCCAAAGACGAGGTGGGGAGAAGTGATTAGACAAGACATGGCGCAGCTTCAGCTGACCGAGGACATAACCCTTGATAGGAGGGTATGGAGGTTGAGGATTAGGATAGTAGAGTAAGTAGTCTAGAGTGTTCATAACAGTAGTATTGGCATACAGTCTTGCTTTCTGAGGGTAGTAGGTTTTATGACTAACCCTTGTTTTCTTTCATTGTTGATCACATTACTATCTTGTTGTTTTTATTCGGCTTTTATATGGATTTTTGGTACTGTCCCTTCTTATTTATATTTCACTAATGTGGTGCTTATGCTTTCCTGAACCGAGGGTCTACTGGAAACAACCTCTCTATACTCACAAGGTAGGGGTAAGGTCTGCGTACACACGACCCTCCCTAGACCCTACGGTATGGGATAAAACTGGGTATGTTGTTGTTTTATTATTTTTTCTTCCACCGATCATACTACTATTCAAATTATAAAACAATGTCTAGATTGACTTACTCAAGCCAACTGATCAACCAAAAGAAATCCCACTTTTACATGCACCCCAACACTGATATCATGAGCATTAATCATATCAAAGATCTTACAGGTTTCTCCAATAGCGCTTTCCCTTTGACATACTTAGGAGCCCATATTTACCTAGGCAGAAAGAAGATAGAATATTTCAATGATCTTATTGCTAAGATTGGCAGGAGGATACAAGGGTGGAATGGAAAAATGATGCCCGTTGGGGGAAAAGATGTCCTAATAAAACCGTAAAAATTGCACGGGGCGCCCTATTTGATCGCCCCCATTTAAACTATACTCATTCTTTTTTAAAACTTTCAACTTATACCCACTTTTTAAATAACTTCAGCCTCATTTCTTCTCCTCCTTCTCCCAGTGATCTCCATATCTCTCCGGAACTTAACATTGATATAACAATATCTCTCCTTCTGTGGCTTCACTCAATTCCTCAGAAGTCATCTTACTATACATAATTAAAATAATTGTAACGTAAGAAAACCTTTTTGTGAAATGAATATTTATAGACCGAGGCGGTTCGAAATCTTTATTTTCAATCTGCTTCTTCAATATTTGTCAAAAGAAAAGTCAATTGCGTTACTGGAATCCTAATTTAAAGTGTTGCAGCTCAAAAGAATCTAGTCTTGTTGACATTTATGGAGCTATAATATCCCCAACATCTAAAATAGTACTACTTAATGCTATTTAAAGTCATCAGATCTCAAACTCTCGCATGCAAAAAGATCATGTGGATGAAGGGTAGTTAATTAATGATTTTTCTGCAGTACTGGTCATGTATATCCTGCAGAAGGTATGGGTTCCTCCCCTAAAAATAGAAACTTCAACAGTTACAAAACAAAACCTTCAGCTCTAGAGTTGAAGTTCGCCAGTTACAAACAAAAACTTCAGCTATAGAGCTGAAGTTCGATAGTTACAAAACAAAAACTTCAGCTCTAGAGCTGAAGCTTACAAACAAAAATTTTCGCCAGTTACAAACAAAAACTTCAACTTAACTTCAGCTCTAGAGCTGAACTTCAGGCTCGACTACTAGAATGCTGAAGTTTTGCGTGATTGTCTTTGCTACTTCAGCCCCGTATGCTGAAGTTATGCGAAAAAGCGGGTACACTTGTAATTTTTTTTGCAAAGCAAGCACAAGTTAAAACGTGACACAAAAAGTGGGTATAGATGCAAATGCCCCAATAAAACCTATTTTATATTCCATTCCTATGCATATATTATCTGCTACTAGCCCTCCTAAAACAAATCTTCGACATATTGAGATGCAATGTAGTAACTTCTTCTGGGGAAACAATGATGAGAAGAATAAATTTCATTAGTTTTCTTGGACTTCTATGTGTTATGAAAAAAAGGAGGGTTGAGCAGGTTTCAGATCCATTCAAGATATCTCAAATGCCTTTGCTGCTAAGGCCTGGTGGTGCTTATGAACCAAACAGTCTCTATGGAGAGATTTTGTTGAAGCTAAATATTGCTATAACACACACTCTTTTCAGCCTCCACAATTTGGCACAAAGGTTTACCCTTCAAAGTGTCATTCTTGATGATGAGATTGCTGAATAATAGAATACCTACAGATGATATTACTAATAGATTTGGCCATCTAGGACCATCCAAATGTTCTTGTTGTAGGTCACCTGCATTTGACACAATTGAACATATCTTTGTGGAAAGTGAATGTGCCAAATCATCATGGTCTTATTTTGGAAAATCAATGCACTTTCTAATCTAAAGATTACTCTCATGAGGTGGTGGATGACTAAACCTAAAAATGAGGTGCATGCATTTATTTTGCAAGCGCTTCCCAGCATTATTTGCTGGGAGATCTGGAAAAGAAGGTGTTGTCAAAGATACGGAGGTGAAAAGATCAATATTACAAGACTTCTCTACAAGATCAAATCAAACTTGATCATCCAGGTCCGTATTCTCTTTAATAACCTCCCTATCACTAATGAATGGAAACACTTGTGTACTTTGGTAGACAGGATCAAGCCCAGACTTCACATTGTCCCTGTAAGATGGCCGAAGCCACCTGATGGGCTACTCAAGCTCAACACTGATGGTTGTAGCAAGGGAAATCCAGGTCCAGCAGGAGAAGGATGCTTAAGAAACTATATGGGGGAGATGATCATGGCTTATTCGGACTTCTTTGGAGTATGCTCAAACAATGTAGCTGAAGCAAAAGCAATTTTGATTGGAGTAACATGGTGAATCGACAGAGACGATAAGGATGTCATGATTGAATCAGACTCTCTGGTGATACTGGCATACTCCGAGAAACAAATCCAAACTAACAAAAAAGATTCTCAAAAACATTCCAAATGAGCCTTACATACGTGAAAAGAATAAGGGCCTTAATAATCATAATTTCCTAGCTATCAGTGTATGGAAAATCTAAAACTTTCAGATGAGAACATGAGGCCAAGTAGTTGTAGCTCCAAGCATCCAGGTAATAGATAATGCAAAAGACTCAACTTATCAACTGCAGTACCTCCAAAAGCCACATCCTATTGACACCAGAGTTGTGTCACATTTTTTTCAAGCTTGTTACAAAACTCATCTTATGGAACCAAAATTTCATTTTAAGGGCATCAAACCTAAAATTCCAACTAAGGGGTCGTTTGGTATGAGGTATAAGAAGGTATAGAGGTGGTATAAAAATTTAATACCACCTTAATACTATGTTTGGTTAGCAAACCAGGTATATGTTATCCTGGTGTTAATTTTAATACCGGGATAACTTATACCTTATAGAGGGTGGGGTAATTAGCACCGGTATAACTTATACCTTCTTCTTAGAAATTATGCAATTGTCATTCTTAATACAACATAACAATGAATAAACAACAATCCCAGCATAACTAATCTCAGCATAACTTATCACAACATAACTTATATTGGCATAACTTATACCGGCATAATCCGTATTCCAACCAAACGACCCCTAAGGCTTCCAAGGACTAAGCTCTGGATTTTTCTTTAACAAAAAAGAATAAGCTTTGAACTTTTCTTTTACATGTTAAGTATATCCATTCGTCCATAAAAAGAGTAAAACCCCACCTAGCTATTGGAATGAAATAAATAAACACAAAATACAACAGATAAAAAAGATACATATAACTAGCATCAAGAAGTTTAAAATTGAGATGCAGTTGATTGATTGATAGACATCTACATACCAGTATCAGTATTTTAAAAGGCGTGGGCGTAACACGAGGCAGTTTACATACGCCTCAGCGAGGCGTAAGCCCTTAGGGACGGGGTAATTTTTAATATTTTATAAAATAATATAATTACAGTAAATATTTTTAAATAGGTAAAACTGCATAAAAATTGAAAAACTATAAATAAGTGAAAAATATATATAGATGTGCTACATCCCGACAAAAAAACTAATCAAAACAATCCATTAATACGCTTCTTACAAGCACAAGTAACTTGAGTTAAAATGCATAAAGGTTTCCCCACAACGGAACAAAAAGGATGACTAACCTGCAATTTGAACTTTGAACTTGCTGTTACGGAGGAGAAGTTTTCTTTGTATTTGTAAGAAAAAAAATGACTGTTTGCTAATTTTGGGAGATAGTAGCAGATTAGCGGACAAGATAAATAATAAGAAAAAGCCATAAATTAGGGCTTCTAGCAATAAAAAGGTATTGGCTTTTTAAAACTTTAGAGTAATTACAAGGCTGACTTTTGAATATTTGGGTATTATATTTAGGACTTATTCAACAAATTGTCTTAATTTGAAAAAGTCTCTTGGGCTTATGTCCAAAAACGCGTACGCCTCTTGAGATTTTCGCCCCCCACCATCGCCTTGGGGCATTTTTGGTGCGCCTCGCCCCAAAAACGCCTTTTAAAACACTGACCAATATGACGGAAAAAATCAAATACATACTCATATATTATTACTATATTTTTGGGGGAAAAGGATCGCCCAAGTCCACATCTGGGACCTTGAGTGTTTATTATTTCGGAAAGAGAGTACAAGGAGGAGGTCAAAACCAAACCTCTCCAGTAACAACCTTGACAAGATAAAAAACTTGTTGATAAGGAAATGAGATCTCTATCTCCTAAGAGTTTGAGTTACACCCAAAAAAAACTATTAGATACGTAACTTTGTGTATCTATACTCAGCTAATTAAAATATTTGATTGAAAAGTAACCCTTTCTTGACTTGATTCTGAAGTTGCATATTCCCAACTGATCATTCTTCAGTGCAGCTCTAACCTGTCTAGGCAAAGAGACAACTTCAGTGAAGAAAGATTCTGACTAGAAGCAAATCAATGGATTCACATTCAGCCTGGTAATAATAAGCCAATCACAGTAGTCGGAACGAGTACATGGTGAAACTGTGTGACATACCTCTGAATTTTTCTTAACAAGCAAAAATGGACAATGAATCCATGCCAGGTAAAACTATGTGAAATACCCTATTCCACCAGTACTAATAGGATATGAACATGGATGGGAATAACCCTTGCAAGAAGTCTAAGCAAAATAGTGTTTGGCTCTGTACAGAAGTAGTATTGGCATTGTGGTAAGAGGAAACCAGATTTATAACTTGAAGTAGAGGAGGAGGCATCTTCAACAAATATCTCAGTTGACATCTAAGTATAAGACTTTAATATGTTTCTAGTAGCAGTTCAAGAAATTGCAGAAGTTAATTTTCTATATTACAATGGTATACAGCATAATCTATCTACAGTTCTTTCCCCTGAAAATTATTTATTATCAGTGAACCAAACAATATAGTTCCAACAATTCTAGACAAGGAAGAACAGAGATACCTAGGGAATTAATGTTAATGAATCAACTGTTTTTTCTTAGATGCTAAGGGTTACACATTTCATGAACCTTACATTCATACTCAAGAGTTCCATGTGTTAAGAACTAGTCTTCCTTGAGTTTGGTGGTAGATTAAATGCTATAGAATCTTCCACTAGATCGAGAGGTTCGAGACTCGTATTGATCAATAAGAGTTACATGCATTAAGAAAACATCATCCTTTATAGAAATAGACAAGAAAGAGAGAGATTCCATCCTCCACACTCTTGCAAGTTCCTCCTGACCTCAAATCTCAATGCACTTCTCCACCTTGCAGATTCAGAATACACTCTTGCAAGTTCCGCCTATATGAATAGTGATTTAAAGCTAATTGCAGGAGATCAATTCTTACGATAGACTCGGAATACCTGGCACTTCAGTAAAATAATAAAACGATTCTGATGGTAATGCAAAAGAGCATCGATGAAAAAGTTTACATTTTTTAGCTGAGATCCCCGATACCAATCGGAAAATAAAATGTTAAAGAACTTTTCTTGAGAAGCAATAAAGAACTTAAATAATCTAATGATAACTGAGGACACCTCAGGAAAAATTGCTCATTTAAAGTTTTATCAAAATCTCTTCTTCGTCCAACGACAGAATTGCCCAAAAACCAACCAAAATTGGTTAGGAAGCAAAGAAGAGTGATTATTTTCTACCAGCTAACCTGTAAGGGTAATCTACCATTGTCAAAACTGCTCCTTTTGCGCGTGCAACCATATCCTCATTAGAGCACACCCGTGTTCTATCCAGCGTACCTTCATGGCACAACTAAGCTAAACCGGTGACCATTGCTCGATCCAAAGGCGTCGGTAAGAAGAAACCTAATTAACCTGACTAAGCTCTTTATGAAGAAGCATATTGGTGGTGTAACATATATTTGACAACTTCGTAAAATGAAATCACAATTCCGACAGAGGGACCAGCACGAGCAACACGAGGTCCTACTCCAGTAAACAGTCCCTTGAGCCCTCCATCCCTGCATTAGTCAGCATGATTTCATTCATAATCCACTTCATAGCCGGAAAAATAAGTGTACAGACATGTATGTCATTCTATTTGAAAAAATTGGCGATCCTCTGAGAACACATGACACAACCGATTGTGAATTTCCACTACCTATACCCTATCCCTTTCCATTTAAAGGCATAACCAAAATTGGAGGATAACAATAGCTTTATGGCTTTAATATATGCAGTTTTTACGTTATTTTACGTGGGAATAGTTCGTTTGACATATTCTCAGAAAGCTGTACCTCCAAATCTCCAGTAGAGTTTGCCTTGTCGTCATTGTCAATGCCCTGGCAAGGTTCCTCTGTAATAAAGAAAAGAGGTGGATAAGCAAACCATCAAATATATGGAGGAAAAACAAGTCAACTATCACCATGTATCCAAGATAAAGGCAGCACTCTCTAACCTAAGCTAATTTCAAATAATCCATTTATTTCGTATGAAAATGAAATTGCAATTACCCACCTGGGCCAAAAAAATTACAGCTTCATTTTGAGCTTCTTTAGGTGATTTCTGAAAAGTGGGAGTGTCAAAGACGAAGTCGTTTCTTATTATGACACAACTTTTGCAGCTTGATTTACATGTTTCTCAGCTTATGCTACCCCTCTTCTTCAAAGATTTTACTTTCAACTTTCATATGTATATGTATATATAGAGATGCCCTTCCCCTGATGTCACAAAGCTAATTAAGTGAATCGTAAGGATGTTCCATATGCTTTAGCATTTGAGAGCATCGTCACATCAAGTACATCTACTCATGCTGTTGTAATTGTTTTCCATCTTTTTAATTTTAATGGATTTAATGGACACTGTAGAGAATTTTTATACCTTGTGAGATTAATTTGACCTATTCTAACCTGTTGTCTGCCTTATTTTCACAGATAGTTACATATAGTTATCTTTTAATTAGGTGACCTCTTACAGGGTGTATAGAAGTAAAGCTCTTTTTCAATTGATAAATTATCTATAATATGTTTATATGATACTCTTATATTTTGACAAGTAAAGCTGCTATATAGCATTTTCAAACAGAACTTTTCAAGGGATAGACACCAGTGATTTCATTTGTAAGACATCCATGCTAATTCAAGCTTACTTGGTGCTGGCCAACTGTTCGCGGAGGAGATTAGCAGCTGCAACCAAGTTGCTGAGTGCAGGCTTAACTTCAGTATACTTGTGCGTCCAGAAGCTATAGACAGGGTTACCCCAGAGGATATTTGTATCAACGACTGCAAGGATCTTGCTGATCCTGTCAGCAACTTGTTCTGTCAATGGAATCTTTGGCTAATGGATGTCATATACTCAAGGGCAATCCCAGCACCATAATTCACTCCCTCGCGGAACACAAAAAGAAGCTTCTCACCTAACCTGAAGGTCGCGATGGTGATCACGTCAACATCCATGTCGATAATTGAATGGATGATGATGTCATTGAAGTTTGAATAGCGTGCGTCTAAATCTGTCACAAACAAGGGCCAAGGTGATTAGAATCTCGTAAAAGAAAGAAAAATATTACTCCCCCCCATGCTTTTATTTGCCACTTTAGTCACACAAAAAAAACTGGTTCAAAATATTTGTCACTTTAGAAAACAAGAAGGCTTGACTATTCTTCCCAATTCCGCCCGTACTACTCCAAGAAGGCCAATAGTCATGACTGACTTGTCTAAAGAAAAGATAAGAGTAATAAAATTAAAAGTCCGTAATGATTACTGTTACTGGATAAATTTTTAAATTAGTGTACCAAAATCTTAAAGGGGTACCCCTTTAGAGATGAATTCACCGAGCAGGATAATAATACCCTTGCTAAAGAGCCAGCAAAAGAAGCTAAAAGTCTTCCAGAAATATCTCCAACGGATAAAAGTAGTCCTTACAGTGAATCTGAGAGTAATCATCAGATGATGCAACTGATGATGAAACAGCCAGATATGCTAGTGGTTTGGCTGCAAACTTAAAGAATCCAAGAAAAATGATGAAAATGACTGTTGGTGCTCTATTGGTTATTGGTACTGGGTTCTATGCCGCCAACATGATGAAGTCTGCGAACGAAGCAAAAGAAATAGGACTAGCAGCTATAGCTCAAATTTGGTTGGTATATTTGCATTTCCCTCCCAGCTATGATTGTGAATAGAATAACTAACAAAGGATCCCCTTTTCATTTCTAAAAATTAATCAATCCATTTGTTATGAATCAAAAAACCATCATTTGAATAAATCATGCACTAATGATGTATGCATCTCATGTGTGCTCACTAGAGGTCTTGGATCATTTGAACCCATTGTGTATAAGGCTGCATCTGCCTCTGCTTGCACGGTTGTACAGCAACTTAATAGATTACTTACTGATATCTTTTTTCATTGGATTTCTAATCCAAAATATGCGCAAGCATATTCGGCAATAATCTCTCTCCAGAACAAGTGTCTAAAGATTAACTGACTTGGCGTGCTTCTGAAAAGCTAAATCTGCTCAATCACAGCATGCAAAGATTGTCTAGAGTTAATCTGTTTCGCCACATGAGAGAGAGAGAGAGACGGACAGAGTTAACTTAGACTAGACCAATAATGGGAACATGATGAATTTCCAAGCCCCAAGTCATGCTTTTCTCACCTAATCCTAAAGAAGACAGCAATCACAACCGAATAGAACAAAAAGAATAACTAAGGGGCATAACAAAGAATTACCCTGTTAAGATCATATTAATAGCCACTTAACTTCCACACAACACTTTAGTGAGAAAATAAAATATACAAGTGCTTTAACTAGATGGTAGCTATAATCATCCTTCATTCAGTTCAGCCTCTTGTGTTAAAAGAAGACGATAAATGTGAAAATAAGTATAGCTGAATAAATCAAGTGAACTAAATCACATCTTTTTTCCCAAGCGAAATTGAGGTATCATGTTAAGCAAAGAAGGATCCTTCGCTATAGCAGCTATTAGTAACTTTACTGTACTTGCATCACATGAGAACCCCCTTTCAGTCATTTCCTTCAAAAAAGTTGTCATTTAACTAGTTTTGCCAAACTTGAGAAATCCTCGCACAATAACATTGTAAGTGTAGTTGTTTGGCGAACAACCATTGTCCTCCATTTTTCTTAGCATATTTTTGGCTTCATCTAGCAATCCTTCTAGACATAATCCATTTATTATTGTAGTGTATGTAATCACATTGGGAAACAATCCAATCAAAGAAAGCTTCTCAAAAATAGCATGAGCTTTGTCGAGCTGACCATTTTTGCACAATCCGTCAATAGTAACAGTGTAAAGTTCAATATCAATATCTTCTCTCTTTTTTTCCAACTCATGAAATAGCAACATAGCTTTCTCAACAAGTCCATTCTGAAAATAACCACGGAGCAAAATGCGATTAGTGCATAAATCAGGTCTGAGCCCTATAGATAGCATTTCAGCAAATAATTTTTGCACAATGTCAGTTCTTCCAACTACAAATAGACCTTGCAAGATAGTCCTATATGTAACAATGTTAGGTTTCGGTCCATTTTGAGAAATTTCACGAAACAAATGCATGGCCTCAACCAATTTCTTTTTCTTACAATATCCATTTATTAATATGTTATAGCTAAAAATGTTAGGCTCAATGCTCTTATCAATCATGGAATCAAAAATTCTCGTTGCTCTATCCATTTAACCGTGTAAGCAATATCCATCAACTATCACATTGTAGGTGACCACATTTGGCTCTACACCTTTTTCGATCATGTGTCTCATTACCTTCTCAGCATCTTCAATTTTCCTTCTTTGCATAATCCATCTATCACCATGGTCAAGGTGTGCACATCTGGATAAATATTAAGATTTATCATTTCTAAGAACAAAGTCCTAACCTTTTCCCACTTACCAAACTTACACAAACCATCAATCAACACATTATATGTGATAACTGTCAGAGGCATGCCTTTTTGTTTCACCTCTTCGAAAAGGCTAATAGCAGCATCTATCATTCTATCTTTGCATAGGGCATCTATAACAATGTTGTAGATACGTGTGTTGGGTTTAACGCTTCCTTGTTCCATTACCTTAAGCAAATCAAAAGTTTTCCGAGTATGGCCCCTTTTGCTAAGCCCATTCATGATGGTCAAATATGTGACTTCATTAGGCTCACATATATTCTCTCTCACCAACTTTTTGAGCAAGACAACTGCATCTTTGATCTTATTTTCAGCAAAGAGTCCCCTTAATAAGGTGTTAAAGGTGATAACATCAAATGGAATGTCATTCTTCAAGTAAATGGCTAACACTGAAAATCCACAGTCAGAACAATGCATTAGGCAATAATTGTTAATCGTTATATTCAAGATGGAATCACTAATTGGGATGCCTAATTTCAGCATTTGTCGAAAAAGGGAAACAACAGAAGAGTAATGCTTCATATTTACCATAGTCTTTAATAATTTCGAGAAGCTAAAAACAGAAGGAAGAGGCTGCTTTCTTACCATTCGACGGAATAGACTCACAGCTTCATCTAAACACTTGACGTTCTCAAACCTGCTAGCTACCCCAATTTTACCCTTTGGCGGAATGGATGTATTACTATGAGAAGAAGAACAATCTCTGGTTGTAAATGCCGAAACAGAACGGGAAATAGCAAAGCATGAGCTAAAGCGAATAGCATTGGAACAGTAATGCAGCAGAGGAATTCTCCTCATCTTCAATTTGGCTAAGGAATCGCGGTGCGCCCTAATTTTGCGGCCGGTGCTCTGATCTATCTGGGTGTGCCCAAAATACGGAAAAGGTCAAAAATATCCCTTTACTATGAAAAATTGTTTAAAGGGGACAAATTAAAAAATAACAAGACTTACAACCGGTCATTCAAAATAGTCACGACTTCAAAAGTAATCGAAATTTAATCACTTTTCATGTAAAGATAAATCTAAATGAAAACACTGTTCAAAATCCGGAAAAATACTCCAGCATAATATACTCGAGTTCCCGTATATTATACAGGAATCTCCACTCTAATATACTGGAGTTCCAGTATAATATACCGGTTCAGCATAACATACTAGAATTTGGAGCACCGGTGCTCCAGTCTAGAGCCAGCAAAGTATATCGGTCCAGCATAATATGCTGGAAGTTCATACACAAGTGCACCGAACTCCAGTATATTATGACGGACCGGTCTCTGTTGCAGTAAAATAGTGGCTATTTTTCAATAACTTGGTAAACGCTGGCTATTTTTGAATGGCCAGTCCGAAAATTGGCTAGACCGTGCTATTTTAACTATTTTAAAGTGGTTGAATAAGGGTTTAATATTTAGGGTGGGTACTGAGTATTGGGTCGAGTCAGTATAAAAATAAACCCACATGGATCAAATAGCTTAAACGACACCCACGTGGCCTCTCGAATAACTTGGGAGTATATTTATCCAATAGTATGACGATAAGGGTATTTTTGCTCGTTTAGTATAACGAAGGATAACTTTAAATAATTTTCGATAGTAGAAGGGTATTTTTGACTCTTCTCTGTTTAAAATAATTAGTTAATGCCTCATATTAAAAAATATCCAAATTTATATTTGGATAATTCACCTAAGACCCCTCACAGTTTTAAGTTTTAACATATTCAAATCAAATTTTCAAGTGACAATACCATTCCCACCAATTTTAATTTATATTTTTAAGTTAAAAAGCGATAAAATAATTGCTCTTTTTTTTTTATAGGAAATAACACAAAATACCCATTTGAGCTTAAAATATTACTCGTCTACCAATCCTTCAATCCTCTTTGACTATGTGATAATCTTTCCTTCTCCAAATCTCTTATATCTCCTAATCTCTTCACCAAATCTCACCCACCTTCCAATTTTTGTTTTGTTTTGGAAAGTGCTTAAAAGGAAGAAAATTGCTTTAAAATTTCATATTTGAAGAAAAAGAATTGATATTCTGAGCGTATGAGTTTAAAATTTCAGATCTGAATTTTTTGTTTGTGTTTTGAAGTGTTTTTTTTTTATTTGTTGGGGGTTGTTCTTTGATTTAGATTGTGGTGTTAATGATGATTTTCGAAGATTTGTCTTAAAAAAATTAGATCCTGTTAAGGACCTTGATGCTTGAAACAGATAAACTGAGTTGTCGAGTTTATAGTTTTCGTAATCCGATTCTAATTGAGGTGTGCTAAAAATGCTAATTGGAGGTTGTGGCTAAATTTTGAGTCAATTAGATTTTGGAGTAGTTTTTTTGGATTTTTAGGTCAAAATTGAGTTGAACTAACGAACAAGACGAATTGTATAGTTTATACCATTTTGATATATTGTATGTCATTTTGGTATACAATATATAATTCAAGAGTATACAGTTTATCGCAATAATATATTATTATAGTATATAGAATAATGTCGTATGCCGTTACAAGAGGGGTTCATAATGACACGTGGCATTTTTATTGGAGCAAAAAATAAGAAATACATTTTTAAATTCGATTTATTTATTTTCGTTAGCAATAAGGGTAAAGACGGGCCATGTGAGTAACAGAAGGGGTAGCAATAAGCCACTTTCCAAACAGAGGACAAATTTGCTCTATTTCGTATACTTTAGGGGTAAATTTGTCCATTTTCCTATTTAATGAACATGCAGTGGGTACAATAACAACAACAACAACGATCCAGTATAATCCCACAAATGGGGTCTGGGGAGGGTAATATGTACGCAGACCTTACCCCTACCTCGAAGGGTAGAGAGGCTGTTTCCAGGAGGCCCTCGGCTCAAAAAAACAACAGGAGCCGATATATTAGTACCATAAAAATGCATAATAAAATAACAACAATATAAGAGATATGAAATACAGAATACGAAATACAAAATAGATGGCTGGTATAGTAAAACTAGCAGGTAAAGCCCTGCATCAATAGACGACCAATGACATTCTTAGTCTAATTCCTAACTGGCTAGTCTCACTCTATCGTGCTGTAGAAATATTCACAAGTTTCCCCTAACCTACCATCTTAATGCTCGACCTCCATAATTCCCTGTCAAAGGTCATGTCCTCAGTAATCCTAAGTCGCGTCATGTCCTGTCTAATCACCTCTCCCCAATACTTCTTAGGTCGTCTTCTACCTCTCCAGTGGGTAGAGTCGGTTAAATCATCCTCTCTTCTTTTTTAACAAACAAAAAAGTAAATTCACACATGTACTTGCACTAAACTTTTTTAAAAGTCAACTCTTTGACTTTCGAATTTTGATAAATTTTACCTTTATAGTTAATAGCATAAGTACTAAAAAACACTCAGATTGTTAATAAAATGATTTAGTAGATGTGAAGAAATTACGTTGTATTTTTTGTCTTCGTCGCATTTAAGTATAATATACATATTTATATTATACTAGTTTCTGAGCACGTGCGTTGCACGTGTATCCCTTGATATTCAGTACAAATTTACTGTTGCACATGTATGCCTTGTCTTTCAGTACAAACTTTTTAGAATGATATAAATAATATTAAGATATGTGTGAGATGGATTAACACATAAAGGGAGAAAATATAAGCTCAAACTAATATGGGGAAATTGATCAACCGAGTTGAATTTGATCGAATCCAAAAAACATATTCACTTAGTAGGCGTGATATGCAATGAACTTAATTTTGATGTTCTTAGGTATAAATACACAATATGATAGTATATTACCTAACATTCCCTATGAAGTTGAACAACAATATTTACTTAGGTGTCATGATTTATATTGAGATTAAGTTTGGTGTTATAAGCTAGTACAAACATATTATTGTAAGCTAGTACCTTGGATCGGTTATTCAAGGGATCGGGGAGATTGACGAGGATGTCACACACCGTATAGGGGTGGGGTGGATGAAGTGGAGGTTAGCGTCGGGAGTCTTGTGTGACAAGAAAGTGTCACCGCTACTAAAAGGTAAGTTTTATAGAGCAGTGGTTAGGCCTGCCATGTTATATGGAACTGAATGTTGGCCGGTAAAGAACTCACACATCCAGAAGATGAAAGTAGCAGAGATGAGGATGTTGAGGTGGATGTGCGGGCATACAAGGATGGATAAGATTAGGAATGAAGATATTCGAGAGAAGGTGGGTGTGGCCCCCATGGAGGACAAGATGCGGGAAGTAAGACTCAGATGGTTCGGGCACATTCAGAGGAGGAGCAATGATGCATCGGTGAGGAGGTGTGAGCGACTGGTTGTAGTAGGCACGCGGAGAGGTAGAGGGCGACCTAAGAAGTATTGGGGAGAGGTGATCAGACAGGACATGGCGCGACTTAGGATTACTGAGGACATGACCCTTGACAGGGAATTATGGAGGTCGAGCATTAAGGTTGTAGGTTAGGGGAAAGTTGTGAATATTTCTACAACACAATAGAGTGAGACTAGCCAGTTAGGAGTTAGACTAAGAATGTCATTGGTCGTCTATTGATGCACGGCTTTACCTTCTAGTTTTACTATACCAGCCATCTATTTCGTATTTCGTATTTTGTATTTTCATATCCCTTATATTGATGTTATTTTATTATGCATTTTATGGTACTAATATATCGACTTCTGTTGCTTTTTTGAGCCGAGGGTCTCCTGGAAACAGCCTCTCTACCCTTTGGGGTAGGGGTAAGGTCTGCGTACATATTACCCTCCCCAGACCCCACTTGTGAGATTATACTGGGTTGTTGTTGTTGTTGTATGATCGTATCTCAACTAACATTTCCTGTAAAGTTGAGCACCTACATTTACTTAGGTAGGTATAATGTATAATGAAACTAATTTTGGTATTATTAGATACAAACATTTGATATGAACGTATATCTCACTTAATATTTTTTTCAGTGCTTTGTCATAACCAAAACTCTCTTGTTGTCAAAAAATTGCATATTAAATAAGTTAGTCCATACACTACCGACAAAACCACAAATACCACATTTGTCATCAGGTACAACTCAAACACATGAAAATCAAATCTCGCGGTAAATATAAGACATATGTATCGCCAAATTTCTTTATAAATACTTTATGATAGTGTAGCACATATAAATAAGAATGATTATAACACCAATTAAGCAAAAATAACATGATCATTCTAACATTTATTCCAGTGGAAAGGATTTTATTCTTCCGACCGTAACAATAAATAAATAATAGCATTAGTTCAAGTTCAATCGAGAATCGAGAAAAAAGAAAAAATGACAAGAAGTATAAAAAATAAAGTTCAATCTAAAAAAAGACTTGTTGAAAATAAATAATAGAAAAAAAAGAAATAAATTTACCTCATATGCCATTTGAAGATTGGTTTTGTGTATTGTAGATGGTGAATAGAGATATGTCAAAATAATAGAATAATGTGTTCTAGGAGAAAGAGTCATTTTCCCGATCACCATGGTTTGAGAGAAAGAGCAATTGCTTAATTAGTTGGGCTTTTTATTTTATTTTTTGATTATATTGAGCATGATCCAGTAAATAAATAAAGGATGAGAGGAGAAGACTGACATATATTGTCTCGGTAGAATTACTTCAACTTCCCATAAGTTACATTAAAGGATCGAGCATTAAGGTTGTAGGTTAGGGGAAAGTTGTGAATATTTCTACAACACAATAGAGTGAGACTAGCCAGTTAGGAGTTAGACTAAGAATGGCATTGGTCGTCTATTGATGTAGGGTTTTACCTGCTAGTTTTACTATATCAGCCATATATTTCGTATTTCGTATTTTGTATTTAATATCTCTTATATTGCTGTTATTTTATTATGCATTTTTATGGTACTAATATATCAGCTCCTGTTGCTTT